AACAAAAGGCCACACCATCTTGGTCTTCATACCTTTGAATAGATTAGTAAATTGATCCCACGAAAGGTCTGGTTTTTTCACACATTTTATTTTGAATTATTTCCCGGGCAAATTTTATTCGGTTCCGGTCAAAACGTGTGGAACTTTTATACCTATTTTGACAGATGCCATCAAAATGGAACATATTCTATGAAGACTTCAAGTTTATAAGCTAAGAAACCTCCATTAATTTATTAGATACTCCACATTTATCTTACTTATCCGATAGTTTTAATGTTACTACGCTTGGCTGATTTGTGCATATTTGACATCAGATTCTCTGAATATTTTAACGATCTTGAATGGTATAGTACTCATACTAACTCTACATACGGAATTTCTAAATTCAGCTATCACCTCTGCAGAACTTTGGGTGGCTAGGGAATTTATATATTACATATCTTTTTAAACAGTCCATTTCTCTTTTTTGACTTTTGGGAGCTGGATTTTCTGAAGGGTTTTAGAGATAGTTTATCTCTGCCCCATTCATTAGCATTTGTAATTTCCTATTTTTTTCCACTATTAATAGCTTATTATAATTCTTTTTAGGTTTTTATTTTTGTCTTAGATTTTTCTAATTCCTCTGCATCCTTTTTCTTTCGTTATCCTTATTTATAATTGCCTTTAATTCTAAGGCCCTTCATGTTTCTAAAATTTCACTATATTTGGCTCATGTTTCACTTATTTTCAGCTGTCCAATCGCCAAGAAATCATCTACAACCTGACATTATCTTACGGTGTGATATCCGGGCATCCAACTGGCATGCGATTGGAGCAAGCGGGACGGGTACCGCAGTGGGCTATCTTTAGGCTAGGCCCGCGAGGCCGTGTTGAGATGACACAATTCTCCGAACCTGAATCACCAGGTCAACAGCGCCAGGATCTCGAGTACGACACTGAGGGTCGGCTTATGAGAATGATTACTTTTCAATCACGATCTTTAGCTATTGCGAACCCTGGGTTTCTGAGTTCAGAATCTTTGGGCTTGGCAAGCAAAGAGAGCAGACGCGAAGTTTCATTCACATATGACTCTCGGGGTCTGCTGCAGCGTAGAGGAGACTGGAAATATATCTTTGATGATGATGGTTTTCTGATTGAGCGCCGATTAATCGATGCTTCTCTCATAGACCGGTTTTCTTACAATAGCAAAGGGCTGCTCATCTTAGCCGAACGTAGTCTGACTGCCCCTATAACAGCGACTGCAGCTACATCCTTTGGAACTGGGCGTCGTCGCAGCATAGTTGAACCCGATGGTTTAGATCAATGTGGACAGCTTCGTCCTTTTCGCATACAATTTTTTTATGATGCCGAAGATCGTTTGGTTGTGGTGCGCGACATCCTGGCTGTGAAGGATTCCGTTCAGTACGCTTATGCTGACCTTTCCAAACCCGGTCGAGTCAGCCATCTCGTACACCACAGTCGTGGTCTTGTCTACACGTTCTACTATGATGATATGGACAACGGCCATCTTTTCGCTGTTGAGAAGAAGCCTTTAAATCTGCCTCCAGCCAATATTGAACCCGATATCGGGAGAGAACTAGCTGGTTATTCTGGTCAAAATGCAGACAGCGCTGATGATGTAGAAGAAGGGGGCCATCCGCCCGAAGAAAATGACCTAATTGGTCAATTTTCGAAAGACAAAACCTTTTTACTTTGGCAACAGCGCAACGAAGCGCATGCCTCTCAATTGGCAGCTAGGCCGTCAACTCCTGGAAAGATATTTTTCGTTATGAGCAATCACGCAGGTTCTCCGATTGCTGCTTTTACTCGTCAGGATAAGGTTCGTACTCTCTTATAATATTAGTTATAATCACTTGTTTATTATTTGTTATTACACATTTGGGTCTTTATTTTGGTTTTGCACAAAATTAATCTTACAAATGGTGTAAATGAAAATGTGAAATTTCAGTCATTTTTTGCATGATGATATTTGACCTTGTTCTTTGAGACCATGTCCATCGTTATAAAAGGAATTGTTCAGTTTAACCACATTATCTGGACAGGGAATCTGCTAATTAGGATTATATACCACACATCACGTTCTAGTAATTTTCTTCTAAAATTTTATAAAACACACTTGCCCTAATTTGGTATTGAGCGTTTAATATTTTTGAGTTCAACTATGATTTGAATAATTTGACTCATTTATATAATGTAGTTAAGCTACAAATACATTTCAAACCGCCATCCTATGCCATTTTTTAACAGTCTCTGTAGTTCCCGTGAGACGAATGAGTATTTTACTAATTGATCCATTGATAAATAAATAGGAGTGATTAATTTTTTTAAATGGACACTACATATGTTCAAAAAACATCCAGTATGTATGTGTTTCGTCGTGCATCTGGTTTCTTCTATTTTCTTGCTACATTAAAACTGGTCAGGATTGTGCCCAATAAAAATCTATCATTTTTCGAGAAATTCTTAGTTAAATCACAGTGCTTATCTATTAAGCATCATTAGCCAACATTATTTATTAACTCTTATTAGACTATCAATTCTTGATATTTATTTTATTTATTTTATAAAGGGCACATCCTTGGTCTGGGCGGCTGAGTACACTCCAACTGGTGCCCGCCGTATAACGACACACCGGTTTGGAAGGGCAGCTAATTCCCGGTTAGCCGGATATCAGCATTTATGGTCCGCAAATCCTGGATCCAGAACAGCCACTGCATCGTCTGCCTTTGGAGCCAGGGGACATGATTGGCTTGAAACTGAAGCTGAGGCCAGCTCACCGCTTCTTCCCTTTGGTCACCGCGGCTTTCTCGTTGATATTCACACTGGTCTAGCTTTTTTCTCTGATCCCAAAGGCCGACGGTTGCCTCGTGCATTCGACACCTTATCGGGTATTTTCACGACGCCCGACTGGGCTGGAATGCCGACTCGGCGACTGGCTAGACTACATGCTGCTCCTCAAGTTCTTGCCAGTCATCAATGGCATCCAGAAGTTGATGACGATGACACAGATGAGACAAACGAGTTGGAACTTGAGGATGAGGATTCAATATATTCTGGGGTTTCTGGAACATCTGGAACTGCTGCATCTTCTACCTCATTTAGCTCCGGAGCAACTGGCTTGGCCTGCCCGATCGACCGATTTCGCTGGGCTGCTCAACAGCCGTCATGGTGGCTGAGACAGACTGGCTTCCGTCTGGACCGCTTGCTGCCTCAAATAGATTTCCGGCTAGCAATGAGCAAATCACTCAGCTATGTCGATTCGGATGAGGACAACACGGATAGTAGTAGCACTTTAGCGATTAAGCCAGCAGAATGGACGATGTCTGTACCAATTACGGAGTCGCACTCTGCTCAGACTGGCGTTCTGCGCGCAAACGAGATGACAGAGTCTTTAGCTTGCCTAGTCGAAGGGATGAATCAGCGTTTTGAAGAAGTCAGTGTTGTACAAGCCAGCCGATTGACGCCCGGTGGCAAGAGGGGAGCTGGTCTTCCGTCCTACTTTCTGCCTCCTGGTGAAAGGATATCTCAAGGCGCCCAGGGTCTGCTACGATTGGCTACTTCCGGGCCTTTCCTTGGACCTCAGGTAAGGAAATATAATTCTTTTTTTTCCAATATTTGTCTTTACTATATAGTTAAACTAAATATTGTTATTAAGTATACGATCATAATAACTCAGTTCATTGTAAACATTTATATATCAATAGATATTATGATTAACAGCATGAATTTTCCGTTTTATAAGCAGGTTTTCAACACTACCACTAGATCATATATTTGAGATTTATTCGCCTTGTTTAGTTCTACTACCCTTATAATCTTAAACGAAATAGGATCAATTCACCTCATAGCATAAATTTTCTCATTTTAATGTTTATTTAAAATACACAATCCATTTTATTTTAAGGTTCGATTCACTCTTTCACCATGGGGCGAGCTTCATCTGCTTCAGAATACTCCAACTACTGGCGAAAATTACTCTTATATAAGCAAGTCTTCAAGGCCTCGACGTGGTCGAGCCAAATCGCCGACTAGCTTCTCTGATAATAGGGGGGGTTCTGTCTCTTCCGACCTATACCCTACTGGTTCTCAGGATCTAAATTCCCTTGACCTGGCTAATCATCTGTTGTTTGGTGCTCGTCTATTAGATTCATGGACCGAGTTTGCTACATCAGCTGGACTACCATCGGAACAGACGCCAGTTACACCTTCCTCTTCGGCTTCACTTATCGCTTCTTACTCATCCTCTCCCTTGGGTGCCGCTCCCGCTACCCTCGCTTTTCAGACCTCAAATGTCGGAACCGTTGTAGGTACTAGCTCTAATTCGGGGCATGTAAGAAATCGGCCTGGCCGACTTATACAACTATTCGCCCGCGGTTTCGAACCATCTGACGATGCTCTTGAGGCCTATGATTTTGAAAATGATAATGTGGTCAATATGGCTTATGGAATAAATTCTGCTAGTTCTACCGACAATGACGCCACTGTCGAAGAAGAGGCACCCGACCCGAGCACCTATAAATCGTTCACATCATCTTCTGCGACGTCATCAGCATCGGATTCTTCTGCATACTTGACCCAGTCCAGACTCATATATAGAGCTGGTACTCGACGCACCTTGTCCCTCCGGCCAAAAGAGGGTTTCAGTCAAGCCATGCAGGTGCTTCGGGCGCTAGGATTGGATGATTGGGCAAGACGAGCACTGCAAGACTATCCGATTGGCGACACCGTAAAAGAAATCGCCTCGACCAGGTAACTTGCGGGTCCCAACAACTATTCTATTTATGTTGGAGTACCTTTCATTTCGTTTTAAGATGCGACTGGGAGGTATTCGTAAGTTGTCTTCACCGGAAGCTGTGGAGGAATTGCTTTGGAGCTGTGATTGTAGATTTGTGCGAATAGGCTCTCGGTGTACCGTACATGCGACCCCGACGAATCCTTGCTGAGCTTTCGTTCGTCATGTGACAGACATAGTCAGAGCAGGACATCATGAGCAGGGTTATGAGCCAAGGACATATTCGCACAATCTGCAATCACAGCTCCAAGGCAATCCTCCTACAGCTTATAGTGGGGCCAACCTACGAATGCCTTCCACTCGCCTCTTCAAACGAAATGAAACGTACTCGAACATGAATTTATTAAGGGATTCTTCGAAAACTAGTTTTTATGCATAACTATTCTATTTGCCTGTTCCTCTTTATTGTCCACCTGGATCTATGGTACATTTTAGCGGGCTCACTCCATTTCTGCCCTATATTGGATTTAACGCCCATTAAAAAATTAGTCGTCGAATCTAAATTCCCCACCAAATAGATGAATTGAGGAAGACCTATCTTGCTTTAAAAGTTGTCTTTATCCTGTGATGCAACGAATATGAGGCCGTATAGCCACCGAATCCCTGCATCTACACTTTTAGCTTGTTAGTAGTGTTGACTACACTTGGAGGAACGCATCTTGTCCGGTTCCTCTAAGTCTTCCTACCAATATGACCGAGTTGCAAAAACAAGGTCAAACATCTTCTATACAACGAAAGAAGAATGCGAACACAGAAAAGGCCACAACATCTTGGTCTTCATGTCTTCGTTTAAAAATTATGTGTATTTAAGTAATTAGTAATCTACTTTTTTCATCAATTTCAGTTTGAAGTTCTCTGATGGGCGTCTACTACTTTCACTTCATCGGCTTCTGGAACCTGACCCCTCTCTTCGCCAATCCACATACGACATGCCGATTGAAATACGCCTGACCACATCCTCTGGCACACTCGAATGGCGTATCCGCTTTCCTGGTTGGGCACGCTCTTGGCAAGAAGCCCGAATGCTGGTTGCTGAAGAGGCTCGCCGTCGTGGCCATGCACTAGCCTGGCGTCGTCTTCAATACTTGGCAACAGAACGATCATCCTCATTCATCTGGCAAACTAACGTAGAAACCAGTACTGTCTCAAACCAGTCTACGACCGCTGCGCGGTTCCGGCACTGGCCAAACGTCGATGAGTTCATCCTGCCATCTGGCCCCTGGAGCCAGGCAGAACTAGCCGAGCTTATTAGTGAGGGTCGAATCACTAATTACCATTGGGTTCCAGTACTTCTGGATCCAACTACAGGTCGCGAAGTCGCAGATATTCGTGATGACCCAACCATCTATCAGTTGCGCAAAACTAGCTTAATCTCGGCTAGATGAACTTCTTCTGCTACCACTTCCTTTGAAGACACTACATTCTCGCCAGTTTAGTAAGCCTTGAATTTCTTATGGCTAACAGGCGATATTTTACCGTCATTTTCTCTCCACCTCATACAAGATATAAATTTATCAGACTGATTTATAGGATACGTAGAGATACTGGGTTTCAATGAATCGCCTGAGATAACACTGTTAGGAGGACTTTCATTTCGTATGAAAGTGCATTAAGAAGAGATTTGTAGTTTGATCTCACCATAGGAGGGCGGATGAATCCCGTTAAACTGTAGTCGTTTAACTTTTATACGATGTTCATGTTGACGCAGTCCATGAGACTTTCTCCCTCGTTTCGGGAGAAAACGGGATGAGCTTTCGTCCATCATATGATAGACATCATCAGATCTGCGTCTCATACTTGTAAAAGTCTCACATTAACACTAGAGCAAGAAGACTATCCTTCTCTCTATCTTACCCCTTATATAGACTCAATTAAGCCAAAATAAAAAAAAACCTAGATAGATATGGAGTGGTTTGGCTAATTATCATTCATACTGGTCCTGCTACTTTTGCTCGAGTGTGTGCGTGCGTGTATATATGTGTGTTAGCGTCTATACACAATACCGGTCTTAAATCAGAGTTATCAAAAGGCTAATGTTAGGCTCTGGTCTTCAAGGCCTAATGACCCAAAAGAAAGCCCTGACCGAGAGTGCGTAAGTACGTAAGCAAGAATGGTTGAGATAATGAGATATGAGCTTGTAAGCATGTAAGTCAAAATAGGAGACCACTTGTCCTAACCTCTCAGCCTAGGGTCATTAACGTATCAGAGCTTGAATAGCTTCTTGGACATGAATGTTAGTGTACATAGATACAACATCAAAACTTACTAGCCTATCTTCTGAAAGTGTCTGCTGCTCAATAAATTTCACAAAATCATACAAATTTGTAACTGAATTTAGCCAAAAATTGACAGAGTTCCTTAGTTGTATGCATAAAAAACGTGATCACGCTTCCTTTATTATTTACAATTAGTCTTAGAGGGACACCCTCCTTGTGAACCTTAGGGAGATTGTAAGCCGTGGGGGCTCTTGCATCTCTCTGGAGTAGTGAATTCATTTTACACTTCTCCATTTCACCATTACTTACACATACCTTAAGGGCATCCTTTAGCCTAGTCTTAAGTCTTTATATTGGAG